CCTCACCCCACCCCCGCCCCCTGCCCAGTTCTTTCCCTGCTTCTCCCTCCTCCAGGAGAATAGTCCCTGGGCCCTGGGAGATTCTAGGCCTGGCCCTATTGTGCTCTATCCTGTTCCCGCACCCCGGCTCCCACTGTGCCCTCACCTAGAATCACCTTCCCACCTCTCCACATGTCATGCCTTTGCGCCTCCTCCATGTTCCAGCTCTCAGGCCGCCTCTCAGCAGCTTTCCAAGCTCTGACTGCCTCCCTCCCCCAGCTGAACCAACTCCTCCATCCTCTGGTGTTTCCTTGGCCCTTGGAACTGACTTGGTGTATGGACAGGGGAGAGTGGGGGTTAATGGTTATTTATCTCTTATAAGACCGTGCCTCTTGTTCACATCTGTCCTGAGGAGACTGACCTTTGGAGAGATTAAAAAAACCAGATAAGCCCATGAGCCAGTGGCTTTGTGGTGGATCCCTGCTGGGAGGCGCCAGGACAATATGGGCAGGAGGACAGGTACTGCTGGGCCACCTCAAGCAGAGGTGTGTCTGTGGGGAGGCAACGTGAGGCCTCAAGCCCCCACCCTTTCTGTAGTTTGAAGACACCATAGACTTTGGTGAGCTAGGCTGGTCTGATGACTTTTTGTGGGATGGGCAGGATAGTCTAGTAAAATACTTTAAAATTTTTCTCTAATTGAGAGCAAGATTTTATTTTACTGGGGCTTTTCTGACATTACTCTGATACTGTTAATACATATGAAAACCCTTTGGTCTATTTTGAATTGCAGAAGGAACAAAGGGTATTAGTCATTTCTAGTGTATGTGGGTATTAAGAATGCTAATTACTGCCCTTCCAAGGCCAGACTTAAGTGGTTATTTTATTTGTAGGAAGAATTAATGTAGATTAAAGGGTATTAACTGCATCCCTATCTATAAAATTTCAGCTTTGGCTCTAGTTTATAGCATTGTAATTTCTCCCTGTCTTACACACTGTTAGTGACATGTCTATCCACGATGTGTCGGTGAGCGCGGCTGAGACACAAGCCATCATAGATGAGGCCCTGGGGCTGCGGAAGAAGAGGCAAGCACTGACCATGCGGGAGAAGGAGCCGGATCTGAAGTTGGTGCAGCCCATCCCCTTCTTCACGTAGGTCATCTGGATCTCCGGGGATGCTGATTCAGCTGGTGGGTGGGAGCTGGCTGCATGTTGACAGATGGCTGGAGGTGTGCGCCTGCTTGTTGACTGCTGAAGCAGCTGGGCCTCTCCCAGGTAGGCCCGGTCTAAGTCCCTCTTTGCTGTTGCCATTCTTGACCCTAGCCACCTGCCACATTCCTATAAGCCCCCTCTTAGTCTGCCGCACCCGGACGGGAAAAGAAAACTAACATTTGCCGAGCACTTGATAGGAAGAAACAAGGTTCCGAGCAGATAAATGGTGAATGGGGAGCCTGGAGTTGATCCCAGGTCTGGGTTCCCTGGCTCTTGAGTCCAACCTCTCCCTCCAGGGCCCTTGTGAGTCCGGTGGTGTGTAACACTC